TCTAGTACAAATACTAACTGTGCTATAATTATCTTTGACCTGATCGTTGTCCGATAAGATTACAGTCATTACACAGCGTGTACCAAATTTTACACGTGAAATTGCTTATGGTTAGTACTCCTATCGGAGCATGCACTGGCTGCGCTCTCCATTCCATTCATTGGATGATTTGTATTTTGTATAAGTTTGATTTTTAATTTGCATTTCGATTTGTATTGAAAATGGGATCACAAATGTCAACTCTGCGATCGCTGGCACCGGAGGGCGGAGACACACTGAGCCATGGGCATGCACAACTGCAGCATTTGTATCCGTTTCCTCAGATAACCATGTCTATCTTTGCACGGGAGCTGCTACCAGCGTGAGAAGCTGAACACTAATACACAGCGTGCAAATATCAGTAATACGTACGTAATGGTTAACATTTTATTAAGAATGACAACGTTGTAGAATGGTGATTCCCAATTTGGGCGGATCGATATGGGGGTATCTGCTCCGCAGTGAATTTGAGGGACCCCTCACGTGGTACGAGGTAATTCAAAATTCAAACGCTTTATGCAACAAAATTACTGTCGCGTGGCATATACATGTACTCGCTACATTGCAAACCATCTAACAAATTAATTACTTCTCGAATTTATTAGTCAACATTCTTCTCTCCCATAGCGCCTCAAGAAACCACCGTGGACTCCGCCAAAATGGGTGTTCGGTCCAGGTACAGTGAGAAAACCGCTATTTGAGTGTTTTAATTTCCGTCAAACGATAGAATTATTTCGGACTATTTATAAATAACGACTTTTCGGAAAGTCCATTTTTATCGGGTTCGATACGGCATCGAACTATTGATTCCTGTAACAATTTTTTGCGGTTTTGTCGCCAGTGTGGACGGTTTTGTACGGGAGCATGGGTGCCGCATCGTGGTTAGTGTGGCGACAAGGCGGTGGTTGGACCGGAGCAGCTCGGGTTCCTCTCGTCTTGTACGCAACGCAACTGGCACTCAACTGGGCGTGGTCACCGATGTTTTTTAAATATCATCGTCTTGGCCTGGTATAAAAATTCTTACACATTACGTATGCGATAAGCCTATAACGTATACATGACTTCGACCAAATAAGTTTGTGATATCTGTGAAATCGTCGGTTACAGACATTTGCGACGGCTTCAGCACTTTGGATTAACGTGGCTGCCTGTATCGGCTGTTTCTATCCAATCAACAAAACCGCGGCGTTTTTCATGGTCCCGTATCTCGGTTGGCTAACACTGGCGGCAGCCGTTAATTTTCGCTTGTGGCGCGACAATTCCGACGCGGACGGGATGTAAAATTTACTTTGTATTAGAATTCTTGGTTCTGCAATCTATGGACTGTATGACGTTTTGCGTGTTGGCTGGCAAAGTTCAATATTAAGTGATAATTGTGACAATTGTTTTAATTTGATGCACAGGCTGCACGCTTTATTTACGATCATATAAAAAGCTTTTAATTCAATGATGTTTTATTTGTGTATGTCTGGTCTGTATTATGCATTTTGATTTGCATTTGAAAATGGAATCACAGATGTCACCTCTGCGATCGCCGGTGGGCGGAGGGCGAAGACACCGCCTTAGGTAATGGTTTGTGAAATTACTGAATAAAGCATTTATCATGATGAACAGATAGCTGTTGTTTACCTAATCATTTTTCCCATCGAAACCGAACGCGCTACTAAGTGCTGAAGTGCTTCAAAACTGACGGAAACCTAACGGGACGTTTTAGACGGTTCCACCGCCAAAACGACGTTTTGGCGGTGGAACCGTCTAAAACGTCCGGCGGATATCTCATATATCCGGACATCATGGACGGTTACCGATATAACCCGTTACACCGCACCATATTCCTGGACATGCACAAAAAATTTACTGTTGTTCGTTCCAGAATACTGTTTTATATTGTCTGATGTCTCATTGCTGTGAAAACTGTTCTTATGTGCTACATCCGGTGCGGAGTATTGGATTAAGAAATGAAATTCAAAAATAGAACGCAACAGGTGGACTCAAGGTCTCGCTGAAGGCAGATCGTTTTTGAATTCTGCATTTGGTCATGAATGTATGAAAACTGTATAAAGTATCTGGTTTTAAAATTGTCTTCGTTCCTCTTTACAGTAATGCAAATGGAGAAAATGGAATTACAAACGCTCCAGCTTCAGTCCTTTAGAAAATAAATGGCATTATAATTAGCACGCGCAGAAGAAAGAATGGTTCTGTAAGGAACTCTACAGTAACTCCATCGCTTTTGACAGTAAAACCTTTAATAAGTATCATGTCATGAGTACAAACGTAGTACTAGAAAACATAAGTATATAACAGATTTGAAAGTCGTTTTTCGATAATCGCTGTAACAAAATGTTGCAACAAAATCTTTCGAAGGTTGAATGCGTGGAAGCGTTCGTGCAACTGCCGCCAGGAAAATTTGCACAAGACGAAAAAAAGTAAACAAAGTTGACGATTACTATAGGAGTACAACGTACCATGAACACTGAAACGGATTTTTCCAGACGGGCTGACCTTACACTGCTGTCTTGACGCGATTTACCAAGGTTCCATCACAATTTTGCCCAATAGTGAACCGAGGTCCCTATTCCTCGTAAAGGTTTTCGATGAAGTCTTTATTTCGGGAAAGGCTTTCAAACTTTTAAATCGGAAAAGCGGCTTCTGTTAATCACCAGAGTTTTGTCGAAGTTTTATTAATCATTAGTCTAATGCTCAGAAGAAAATTTCGCGTGTGTCCAAGTGCAAATTAGCCGGTGTCCAGATGTAATGCCCTGCGAGTGTCCACGATGCCCTTTTTATAATCAGCTAGTAAACATTAATCGAGAAGACATTAAAAGAAATGAGCGGGCAGAACTGTAGCAAAGTCTCGAAGGGTTTGATAGCAAAAATAGGCAATGGAGTCCTAGCACACCGGGACGGACATTCGAGTGTCTTCAGTCGTCCACACAGAAGACTTCTTTCCGGCGCAGAAAAACCAGGACCACGTAATATACCAGAATCGAGAAACAGCAGAACACCGTGCCGCCAGATCGCGGGTCGAATTCATTTAGAACGAATTTGTTAGAACGTATTAAAGAACGAGGAGCGAACGAAAGAACCAAAACTAAAATAATTTTATCCGGTTTAGAAACAGAACGGCCAGCTAATCCGATAAATTTCGATGGGTTTCGCTAAACTGGAAAGCATCGGAACGTATTTTTTCCAGCTGATTTCCAAGCTCCGGGTTTTCATGTCTGTCGCCAGATTCTGATTATTAGTCGCGTTAAGCGTATAGTCTATGGCAAAGGTGGTGCACAATAACAGGCTACGGACAACAGAACGTAGTACCGGCTCTCCCGCATGTTAGGGATTTGCACCGGTCCTTGATGGCGGCATTGCCGGTAACAGTAAATACCATGTCTGATGTTTCTTCTTATCTGATGCTACCGTATTTCGGTGCTCGACATGCCACAAAAGCGGCAAAATCTGGGTATTTCGTTGTACTTACCATAATACGTACGAAACGTCGAATACGGTTTGATAGGTTTTTCTTTGATTACACTTAATTTTAATTTTGCTGGCTGTCAAAAATCTTACTCTAGTGGCTGACTGCTAGCGTAATTTTTCAAACGCATACGAGTATTATGCACTGCCGCAATATGCGATTGTAGCCGGCAGAAAGGTGGACGGGTGGATGGTGGATGTTCAATGAAATCGCATCCACCAATCTGCCGACCTTCGGCAGATTGGTGGATAAGAAACTTAAGAAACCAAAGAAACCTAAGAAACCTAAGAAACCTAAGAAACCTAAAAACCTAAGAAACCTAAGAAACCTAAAAACCTAAGAAAACCTAAGAATCCTAAGAAACCTAAGAATAACCCAAGCATAGCCTAAGAATCCTTAGAAACCTAAGAATCCTAAAAAATCTAAGAAACCTAAGAAACCAAAGGAACCTAAAATCTAAGAAAACCTAAGAAACCACAGAGATCTAAGAAACCTAAGAAACCACCGTTAAAATAAAACAGTAACATTATTGACCTAAGAAAGAAACCCTAAGAACCTAAGAAACCACCGCTGATATAAAACAGTAACCTTATTGACCTAAGAAAGAAACCCGAAGAACCTAAGAAACCACCGCTAATATAAAACAGTAACCTTATTGACCTAAGAAAGAAACCCTAAGAACCTAAGAAACCAACTGTTAATGTAGAACGGTAACTTGAATAACTTGATCACGTGATCTTGGATCCACGTGAACTATGCATTGTTCGGGTATAATGGTAATATACCCCACGATTGCTATGACGTAACCGATGGCTCCATTCGACTCAGTATTTTTTTCTGAGTCGAATGGCGATAACCTTAAGGGAGGAAAAGGTCATCTAAAGGTCATGGTCAAAAATGCTATATAGTATATATATATATAAATTTTGTTATTAAATTTCTGGTGTTTTCTTCGCAAGAGTGAAGATCCTATAGTTATTTTGTTCAGAAAAAGATTGCGAGTCGAACAATGGTAATATGCAAAATTAGAAACAGAAGGAAGGAAGGATCTTCATGTAACCAACGGTGAATCGCAATAGCATTTTTAAAAAGGTTACCAATAATTACCATAAGTAAGTGCGAGCGTTCGCTCAATTGTCGTCTGAAGGCGGTAGCGCTACTAAAGTAATTGGCAATGGCTATAATTATAGTATGTACAGACGGAGTATCGTCACCAGTAAAACCTGTAAAAGGGATTTTCTCGATGGGAAACACACCTTACGTCCATAACAGATAATTATCATTATTATCAGAAAATTGCACACCGAGATCGAATAAACTGGAAAATCCGTTTGCAGAAATGTCGTACAGCGCGGACCGAGCAGATCGGTGAAAAAGAATCGCCGCACATCATGACATTTGCTAGTGTTTTGTCACTAATACCGACGATGTCTTGTCGCCGCAGAAGATCAAAGACAACATCCAAATGACCGACCAAAATGAACGACGGTCACGCACAATGTGGCACTCGGTAACGAAACACAGGCCAATTCTTGCAGAACCACCCAATCAAGTTCGAGTCGTCCCACTGATCAAAGGCAATATCAAGGTGCATCTCGTGATAGAAGATTTGGCGAAACTGCAGAATTATAGGACGGGATTTGCGAGCGATATTCAAACCGGCCACCGCTAAGCCGATACACGGGAGTGTAGCCAATAACAATGCGCATGCGCGTAACACTGCGTATCCCGCCGCATCCACGGTAGAATAATACCAGAAGGTTTCGAGAACGAAAAGCCAGAGACCCAAGAATAATCGCGGATAGAAGAACTCGATAAGCCCCACGACGAGCAGCATTAAGGCTGTGCCTAGTACGGTGTAGGTGAAATGCTCCTCTAGGTGTTCTTTCAGAAAATTACTTTCATAGCAGCCGATGGAAATCCGCGTGCCGTCCCGAAGATTCGCTGCCGACAGGAACCATGATCCGTGCATCTTCCGCACACCGTTCCACAGCAAGAATGCGAAGAATAAATCGATAAGGGAGCAGGCAAGAATTACTCCCTGAAGAGCAGGCACATACTCCAAGGGGAATGGACGGGGAATGTATGACTAAAAGCAGATCAAAGTTCTATGACCAAATCAGCGCCGTTTCGGCTCTAAACAATGCAGTTTACTCTAGTACGGATGCGCAATTACAGCAGTGCACCGCCTACTGATGTCCAGACGGCTAATGACCCAATTTGAACGGAATAATATTTTTTAAAATAGTGAAATCAACAGTACAGAAAGCCGCACTATGCCTCACAGAATAATGAATATCCTTTACTTCTGAAACTACAAAGATTACCTCATCCTGGTTGTCACGTTCCTGATTTTCAAGCTCGCCGCCAGTTCGCACTGCAATTATTAGTCCCATACACCTGACGGCAAGGGCTGCACAGAAGAGCAGGTTGCGGGCAAGAGACAGCAATGCCAGCTGTCGAACAAGGGGCTTGAGACGTTTGGCATACGAGTTCTTCTCCACAGCTCTTCCCACCACATCGTCAAAGGCTGGGTCAAACGTCGACAAATCGCCACACGAGCGCGAGCGGATAAAACGCAACGGATTCGACACATTTCGGATCGCGGAATCATCCTTGGTCACTTTCGCTACCGGCATAGCTGAAGAACTATTTGGATTTTGATTTCTGAGAGAATAGAGTTCAAGAAGAGCAATAATATAACTGTGCAACAAGTGAACACGGTATACTTTTTATGTGAAATCGAGAACGTGCGTGAAATTCGAAAAGTGGAAACTGGAAACTTGACTCGTAACTGTCGAAACGGGCGGTGGCGTGGACGAATCGCCCTATTCGATATCTTTATCTGAGTTTATCACCAGCGCCAGTTGCAAGTCTGCGGTCATGCTTTATTGCCTGCCACAGGACGGGTTAGAGATGGCAACGGCTTAGCCGAGGCCGGCTAAGCCGCGGCTTAGCCGGCTATTGTCCAGCCGGCTGACGGTTTTTGCAAGCCGTAGCCGACGTCAGGCCGGCTACTTAAGCCGGCTGAGACTTCAGCCAGCCGCGGCTAAGCCGGCGGCCGACTCGGCTGAAGCGGCTTGAACGGCGGCATCGTTGTGCAATTTTCGGCGGTAAAGGTGGCGCCACCGAGTCACTTTGCGTCACATTTTCTTCGGCTTGCGCCTAATTTCTGTCGCTTTCGCTCGTGATATTGTTAAACTCGGCCGTCATGATGCCATTTCAGTAGCAATGACGCCATTAACTGTAAAAAATTATGGAATTTTAACTCGTTCAGACTCGGGAATTCCGAGTCGGAATTCCCGAATAACCGCTGTTTTTTTGCTTCAAACGTTCTCAAAAATCGTGCTTTCACAACATAAACGGAACAACTTCTAATTTTTGGTGATTTTACTGCACTTTGCAACGTTATTTCAAAAATTTTGTGTGAAATTTTTTTGAAGCGAAAAAATAAACGGCTTAGCCGGCCGGCTAAGCCGGCTGGAAAATTTGGTCAGCCGCTCTAGCCGGCTGAGACTTCCAGCCGCGTTGAGTTAGCCGGCTAAGGGCTTCAGCTGGCCGTCAGCCGAAAGGTCAGCCGTTTAGCCGGCCGTTGCCATCTCTAGGACGGGTAAGACGCTGAAACTTGAAAGTCTGAATCTGATTCTGATTCTGAATGCTAAAAGTCTGAGTCTGAATACTGAAGCTCTGATTCTGAATCCTAAAACTCTGATTCTGATTACTGGAATTCTGGATCTGAATTCTGGATCTCGGAAGCTGGCCGGTGATGACCAAAGTCTCTGTAATAAAACCGTAACAATATTATTAACTGAAGCATGCGAGCGAGTCTACAGCGTATACGGATTCTACTATCAAAAAACTGGAATTCAGACTATCCAGTAGCGATAAACATAAGAAACAATAAAAACGGCTGCAGCAAATCTGTAGAAGTACTCTTTACATACGAGTATTTGTGCTGCAACGTTGCTGAAAAGTTTCTTTCGAAACTTTTGATGTGTCAATTGCCAATATTGTGCTTAATATTACTGTGATGGCAGAACGTTTTAACAAAAATTCAGAGCGTGAAGTAAAGTTTTTTTCTCACTGCACCCGGACATTTGGGAGTGTGACATTTCGCCGCAATTAAATTCGAAGCGCGACTTTTCGCGCAGAGACATTTCGCCGCGAGAGGCGGGATATTTTGCAATTTGCATTGTGACATTTGAAATTTGCGACATTTCGACGTCTTGCGTCGAAAAGTCGCGCGTCGAATTTAATTGCGGCGAAATGTCACACTCCCAAATGGCCAGGTGCGGTGAGAAAAAAACTTTACTTCACGCTCTAGATTTTTCAAGACGTTCTGCCATCAGAGTAATATGTAACATCAGACTTTTAGCATTCAGAATCAGAGTTTCAGTATTCAGACTCAGACTTCTAGTATTCAGAATCAGAATCAGATTCAGACTTTCAGCGCAGGCCGACGGGTAATAAATAACAATCAAACTGACCGTTCACGCTACGCTGCACCGCAGCTGGCCTGTGTCGCTGTGTGACTGACACTTAATCAGTAACGGCGCGAAAACTGATAATGCTGCAAAAAACTAAATAAGGTTGTAAGTGATTTGTAACAATAGCCTCTCAAACGTACTGTTCGTTTTCAGTGCTCGTTAATCTGGTGTGTATATTTTCTGTATGGTTCAGATTTAGCTTATTGAAATAATTCAGAATTTATTTAGTCTCGAACATAGCTTTATGAATTTCTTCCGTTTTCGTTCCTGTTTTTGTAGTGGTATTACTGTATTTTTGCTGTTAACTCACTGGTCCGTCATCAAAATACCACGGAATTTATATAAAACGTGTGATTATTTTAATGAAGGTTAACTCCGAATTCCGTTTTTGCACAACACAGGACAGCTGATAAAATATAACGAACAAAATAAAAAGTCTCGAACATAGCTTTATGAATCGAAGACATCTAGAACCGTCATTTAAACAAGCAAAACCGCAAACCCATCAACACACATACACGTTCCAATACAATGTAGTATAATCATTATTCTGACATATCCTTGTATTTACCCACTCAAAACGATAGTGTAAAAACGTCCAGTATTCACAATTTACACACACACAACAAACAGGGCGATAAGGGCCACGAGCGCTCCCTTCATTCCGAGACCCGCCGCGGCGCTGGGCAGTGTTTCCACGTTGACTCCGGGGACGGTGGGCTGCGTTTCCACGTTGACTCCGGGGACGGTGGGCACGAGACCGGTCTGGCCAGCGGGCGGGTCGACGGCGTCCATGCTGGTGGCCGTTCTGGCGCCTACAGAAATGACAAATGATTTACCAGATTTTGATTCATTTCCTGTCATGTCGGCATTAAAAATTCCAAATAATCTCGTAAAAACAATACCAATTAAATTTCGAATTATTTGCACGATTACGGTACAAGTACAAACTAGATTAATAATTACTTTACTAATCAAAGAAGTCCAAATCTTTGTGCAATACGTAAAAGATTCTCATAATTGAACACAGTAATCACAAATTATTATAAAATTATCGTTAACCAAATTTGGCTTACCATCGATGATTCTGAACGCCTTGGATGCTTCACCCAAAGCATTCGTGGCTGTGCAGCGGATATCGTCAAACAGCGAATGGTCCTCATTGAAAGGAATAAGGCAGCTGCGGTGTGTGCAGGGCGGCAGGAAATAGTCGTCCAGTTCGCGCAGTATCGTTCCGTTGCGGGACCAGGTAAACACGGGATCCAATGCGCCGCCCGTGACGGCGTCACACGTCAGATTGACCATATCATTGGCACCACGATGCACTTTGGTCAGGGATTCAAAAAACTCCGGAGCACCTGCGATAAACATACAAATGAATTTCTCCGAAAGTAGTTAACCTAAAATTATCAATAACAGTAATAAATAAAAATGGTCATCCAAATTAATAAATTATAAGTGTGCAAAATCGAATTATTAAATTCTTCTTAATAGGGACTAGTAACCCGTATAACAAAACTCAGAAGCTCGGGCACATTACATAAAAACTGACTGCAAATCTGTTTCACCACGTACGTTCGACGGCCAGCGTAATCATCCGCGATGCCACATCGATGTGATCGCTGCCGTCATTGCTGGCGTTGGGCATCACCTGGTAGGCGATACACTTGTACGCTCCAGCGTCGCTCCAGGAAACGTTCCTGATGGTCAGCGTTAGTCCGTTGACGGCATACTTGGGGACAAGTTCACGAGCTGCAAATTAAAATTTCAAAATCTCTTCTCCATCTTTCACCGAGCACAAGAGGCAAAAATAGAGAGCAAAACTTGCAGAAAATACGTACTCGTGGTGATGTTGGTCCCGTTGGGAAACTGCCAGTACGCGGTGACCCCGCCCAACGCCCCGTGGGGCACCGTCGGCGTGCTGCACACCAGCTCCACCGCCTCGGCTCCGAGATCTTTAGTAACGACTTCCGGTGTTCCGGACAAATTCAGGCTGGCTGCAAAAAACAACGCGGCATTTTTTAATTTGTTTTCATCAGCGTAATTACTGTGATTAACCACCAACAATGTTATTATCTTATAATATTATTTTTTAATATTATTTTACGTTAATTTTGGCAAAACTTACGAAAATAATTGATGAAGACACTGCGGTGACCCTCGACTTTCCCGCCAATCGTCACCAAGCAGGTATAATTTCCCACGTGCTCGGTCCCGAAATGCTGAATCTTGGCGGAGGTCATAGGCGAGCAGTAGTGTGTCGAGCAGCGGTCGTCCACCAGCAGGTTTAAAGGCGCTTCCCATCTGCAAAAAAATTCTGCGGATAACTTTTCGCGCGAGGGCCGGAATTTAATACTATTATTATTATTCAAAAAATACGGTATTTATATTTTACAATTAAAGAAGTAACTAAATCATCCTTATGCATAATAGAACCAGAAAATAGCTTACCGCAATTTAGCGGTGCTATTACTTTCCACAGTCACATTGGCAGCACGTAGCATCTGATTGTAGCTCATGGCCGAACATACAATTACCACGCTGGAATTCTGTTTGACGTATTTCATGCCGGTCGGTGTCCAGGGGTGGAACACGATATCGGTATCCGGATTAAATACCGCGGACACTACAAAAATTGAACACGTATGCAGTTTCTGTTGGCATAAAATATAGTTAATTCACATATTTTTTTTCATATTTAATTCAAAAATGTTCTGTATTCAAGTCACCTAAAGGCTTAAAGTGACGAAATTAAATTCAATTTATTTTCATTACGGAACGCTGTTATATTAGTTTCAATTATGCTCAGCATACTTAATCAAAATTGCCATAATCTTAACTGAATCAATCATATGTTTAATTCGCAGCATAATTAAGAGTCTAATTATCACTACTAGGCTGGATAATTTCAGGAATTTTCCGGCCTTATCGTGCAATGTAATCTGCGGTCATGCTTTATGGCCGGCCACAGGACGGGTAATAAATAATCACGCTACGCTGCACCGCAGCTGGCCTGTGTCGCTGTGTGGCTGACACTTAATTAATAATCATATTCTTGATAATGGGCTGCCTGCCTAAATGAATATTTAACCGATATCATTTTCAATCAAAATCAAGAACAAAATTAGGAAAAATCTACACCATATTAATTTTATGATTTTTCAAAGTTTTAATTTATTACCATGATATTATTATTTCTGCATTTTACAGTCATCGATTTCCATACATAAACGGCTTGTTATTTTTTTAAAAATAAAACGGACGATTTCCAGTTGGTCCCACACGTTCAAGACAACCAGGAAGTGCAGGCAGGATTTTTCCAGAATTTTCATTTCTAATCAATCATTCAGCTCTTTGAGTTTTAAACAAACAGGAGAAATCCATGATTATTTTAAAAATAACTCACCTGTTGACAGAAGGAATCCACCGACTAGGAAATTTACCAGATCATTCATCTTCAAACCGGAGAACGACGGACGGGATGGATAAAACCACAACTTAAACTCTTTGATGAGATTCCAGGAGAGTGGACGGATTTCGCCGAAACACTATCAAAAACCAAAATTTTAGGGTTCTAATTCTACTAGGATCAACAAATCATGACCAACCCAGTCTCAGCGAATAAACCTAACTGAAGTGATGGAAGGTGCTAAACTGGCTGATACTTTCAACTTTCAAGAACCCACAAAAGGATCGACTGATTAAAAGGCTGCGTCACGGCGGTCTCGATGTGCCAGTGTGGATTCAATGGACTTGGGCTAATACCCAATGGTCACAGCTGCGCACCGAAGCCCCGCCTACTGCGAGATTGTGCTGGCTTATTGGGACTATCCATCGCTCTACGGCAACAATACGTACCACAGGAATTACGACGACCAGTACTCATATAGAAATCTCACGAAGGATTATCCGCAACGTTCTTCCTTTAAGAAAAACGACTACTATGATTCATCCGACCGATCCTCGTACAAGTCACGTGAATACGGAAGACAGTTCTCGTCCCGATACCGATATGACGACTACACCTACCCGGATACATGTCCACAATGTCCGCAGTGTCCGGCGACATGTCCCCCTACGAGCACCATGGCCAGCAGTAGTGCGGCCACACCGGCACCGGATGATGATGACCAGTCCAGCTCGCCGGCACCCGTATCCGGCGTCGACTCCAATGGACTGCTGGTGCTGCCGTCCGATTGCGATTTACAATCGCCAACGCGCAACGAATGACTGCTACCTGAAGAAACAGTCAACGCCATTCCGCTGTACGCAGTTCGTCGAAGGATCAGTGCGCCCAGACGAAAGCCGGTATACTAATTAATAAGCCGGTGTATTAAAAAGCCCTTAAACTAATTAAATACCGCAACAACAAGCGAGGTATAACATTTAAAATCGTTGTCGTAATAAAGTAATAAGTAGCAATTTAATTGTTTTGGATCGCGTGTACACGTCCGTGGATGCATTACTCGTGATCAATATCACGTTTTTTACAGCGCAACAGAATTCTGGCGTCAAAATATTCGCTCCAGCAGTTTCACGGTATCGCAATGTGTATTCGTATACCGAATAAAGTAACGTGTATTCGTAATGCAAATACGAGTATTATAGACAGCATCGCGGTATGTATCTGTATTACGTTGTCATATTGCTGCAAATAACGGTGCTTCCAGATTGCCGATGCTGAGCAGTTTCCTGGCTTTTAAAAAGTTAAGAAAAATTGTAAATTACAAAGGAAAGGTTTCTGGAGCAATTTGGAAAGGTTTCTGGAGCATCGCTTCAGACACGAAACAACCATGACAGTGATTCAGCAAGCCATCGGCACGCGACTGGGAAACACCTTCTACAGCTTCCTAATTTTTAATTACTGGCATTTTGTTGTTGTCCGGGTTAGTAGTACCTTTATCAACCATGCTGGGCAATTGTGCTTGGTGCTCCGTCTCTTCCAGTACAAGGCTTGCAGCAGTAAATGATACATTTTGTATGATCTTTGTAAACTCCACACGAAGTAGTTAAATATTATTAAAAAACGCATAATTATTTGAGAAGCTGACGTTTCCTAGACGGCTATCATAATAATTTTTTTAGTTACATAAATGCTTTCGTTTAGTTTAGTTACATAAATGCTTTACGTTTTTTTACGGTACAGTTTTTTTTTAAATGTTGCTTCTTTTTGCGATACACTGTGTATATTTTGCCATGCTACCGTGCAAAATTTCATGGAAATTTTACAGGCTAATGATTTAGCTGATAATATTCTTCGTATGCGCGGCGACGGCGGATTATTATTATCCGCAGCGGAGTGATTATGATCGGCCGTGGCCATCCTATTCGAAACCGGCGAAAACATGTCCGGCATGCCCGACCTGTGCGCCGCCGTGTGCCGTCACACCGCCATCCGTTTTGCCGACACCCGCGTAGGTTAATCGAGATTAACGAACTATACTACTAGTTTATTTTATAAAATTTAAGTTATCTATCATACGCACTCGTATTGTACACTAACATTATTGGTAATATAAATCTGATTTTCAAAAGCGAACAATGTCGATGTAGTACTGTGTTCACTCGACATTAAGGGATAGCGGATTTCCCTGGACGCTTAGCGCGAGCGGTTTAGGGGATTTCACTGTCCCTGATGATCGAGTAGATACAGAAATAATTATGCAAAAAGTTTTCCAGTGGATTAAGTGACTTGGAGAATTCAAATATCCATTACACGGGCTTTTTTACCCGTACGCTATTCGTCAGAGTTACTTATAGAAGGTGTTTTGTACCTGTCGTAGAAGGCGAACCACGATTTCAATTGGTCAATAGAATTCCGGTTCCTACTCCACGGCCTGTGACACCGCCTAATCCCTTCGAAGCTACGGGCCCGCGTCCGCCGCAAGCGTCTCCTGGAGTCTTCGTCTATCGCCCCCGACCGTCTATCGCTTGAACATAACTAGAACGACACTTATGGCGTAAGTCCAGTATATTCTCCTCATTATCGTTCGCCACCGCGTAATCTGTATCCCGGCCCCGTTGGTCGCGGACCTCGACCACGTCGGTGAAGGTCAGACGCTTTATAATCTGCTTTATACGAATATCCTACCTAGCCGCTGGGCGCATCGCGGTCCTGTACACAATTTTTCGGTGTCCACTGTGCGAGGCTAAAGCTGATTTCGTACGCCTGCGACGGTCAATATCCTCCTCCAGAGCCATCCGCGAGAACTCATTCGTCGCTCTATCGACAATTGCGGAGCCGATGACGGTGGATTCCCTGGCTCGATTCGGGCAAAAAAGTATGGTAGATGGATTTTGTGATTGGATCGAACGAGAATGACAAGGAAAATTATTAAAAGGGAACACAGTATCATCACTGGCGACATGTAGAACGGAAGAGGCGCCAGCAATCCTTGGAAGAATGGAAGAACTCCCCGATGCCTTTTCCAATCAGTTTCAATGGTTCCATTATAAACTGAGTAACGTTTTAGCAATAGCCTAAAAAGTGAAACAACTAACTAGAAGGCTTATAATGAATGAGTGAAAAAAACATTAAAGCAACAAAATATGAACGCGCTATGAATGGTGAGAACTCCAAAATCATAAATCACAGTACACAGAACAAAAGCTGATGCAAATTGCAATGTTTAGAATAAGCATTAAAATTACCGACGTGAAAGGCACATCCAAATACGGATGGACATTAATGGCTAAATAATATTTCTCACACGGAGTGCTTTCCTGTACCATGGACAATTTACTGGCAACAAACCGTCCCAACGTCTGCCAGACGTTCAGCTTTTTGCATTGAATTTGATCATTCTGCATTAAGCGCGCCTGCTGCTCAGCTACTTTTTCCTGAATAACACAAAATATACAGTTTAAGTTAATGCACAGTGCGCATAGGCTTAACTACGTACTAATTATTTGGGATTTCATTAACCTGGTACAATCTCAGCCAGGTCCAAGGAGCGCTGATAAGAAAGCCGACAATCAACCCATACTTGAGCATCCGCATCAGAAACATGACCAATGATAAACGCAACTTCACTTCCACGTAAATTATGAAGACGGGAATAACCGATATGAGCAAGGCCTGAAAACAAAGAGTCTACTGTACACAAAGTATCGACATTCACGAAAAATACAGCTAATAACTGAAATTTAAAAAAGTTTTTAGTAGAGAATTTACAGGCTGCAGCATCCGAAGATTCTACGCTTGTTTTAAATTTTTAAGCCAAAAAATTAAGGTTTAGTTAAAACTTGATCCGGTTAAAAAGAACATTCCAGTACTCTTACGAAAATAAAGCGCAAATGTAATAAAAGATCCAGTACACTGTTATTGTGTTCCCTACCAGCAGTATTAATCGCAATTCCACACCCCTATAAACTTCTCAATCGTTTCCACCGATGTAGGCTCTTTAGCGACACTGACGGTACGGACCATGGCTTCCATGCGTCCAGCACTTGGGTAGTATCCGACATCGTCTCCGCCTCAAACAGCCGCTCGAACGCCAGCATCTCATCCCTGTGAATGCGCATCATCACATCCACCACCTGCGCGTTGGTGCATGGCTGCTGCATGGTGCACAAAATAAAATACCAATTTCCGAGAAAAATTACAACGGATCACATTAATAATTAATTACTCACAACACAAATTTCCAAAATTTATTCCGCATCGCAAAACACTGTAAAAATCAATTTCGGAAAAAAAACTTACAAAATTACAGCGCAAAACATCGCTTAACTAGTTAACGACAAGCAAAACATTGCTTTCCGGAATAATATCAAAAAAATTACAGCGCAAAAGCCACAACATTATTTAACAGAAAATGAATTTCCAAAAAAAGATAAAAAATTTAATGCGCTTAAAGAAGAACATAAAGTACCGCTGCATGGATAGTGGATACGAAGGGTCGGAAGATATGGCGCAGAAAAGTAATCTGCTGCTGCGCAGCGGGAGAACGCAGTAACGGTTGGTATTTTTCAGCAAGCGACGAGGCTCCTTCGTTGGCAGCCTGCGCTACAGGTTTCTTCGGTTTCACTGCATACATCTGCTGAGGGTCCACCCAATTAGACATGTCTGGTTCACCCGAAAAACCACTCCATTCCGGATCGGTGGCTTCCGGCTTTGGGACGTCGCTAACTTAAGCACATGATGCCAGAAACAACGCGTAGTCAAGAAAGCCAAGCGGGAACAGCGCGCGTGCGAAAGGAGATAAATTCATGATCGCAAAAGCCTATACCAGTTGACGAAACCTACATCGAAAACTACGAAGCATGAACAGAAAACTCAACCAAATTTTCAGTAAATGCAAAATCCGCAAGATTTAAGAACAAGAAAAGCAAAAAGCAACAAGCGTGTGTGCAATACTTCGCAAAACCAATGCCACTCGCCAGACAGGAAATAACCACAGAATGTAATTTATTGTATACTCACTTATCGCCGTTTAGGTCTGCGCGAATCAAACATTTATAAAAAAGTCATATAAAGCATTTTTCCACGGTGGTGGTGAACAGTCGTCCACGACCACCTCGTCCTAAGAACTTAAGAAGTACCTGCTCGTTCTTTACCATGTCCATGCAGAAGAATTCTTACTACATACCTATGAGTAGCACCAGTAGCTACGCCAACCGCCACTGATAGCCATGGAAAAACATCGGCAGGGTTTATCCTGTCCATTTCGACAGATGGATCATTCCGACGGATTCAGAGGCGCAAAGCTGCCGACGGCGTTGCCCTGGGTTTACTGATGCAAAATTAGCAAACATTGACTGTTCACCTATGGCACACTTCGAACACGACATTTTTTTACGGCCTTCTTTAGACGATGTAGTGCACCTTTTCGTAGTAGCCTGGTCCTATGTATTCGCAAAGACTGTTTATACAATGGCAAAATTTTCCCCCATGCCTGTAGTTACCTGCATTTTCATCATTTTGCGCGGTGGCCTGTAGTAACTCGTAGTCTCGGTAGTTTGCGTAGTTTTCGGCAGTTTCCTGTAGTCTCGGAAGCCTGTGCAGTTTCCTGTAATAACTCCAGTTCGTGTAGCCAGCATAGTCGCCTGTAGTTTTGTAGTTTTTGTGGCTCCCAGTACTGTCGGTAGTCTTTGTAGTACATATACAGTACGTAGGCGCAAAACTACCGAGACTACAGCAAACTACAGAAAACAACGTAGACTACCGGGATTACAGCAAACTACGCAAACTACCGAGACTACAGCAAACTACCGAGACTACAGCAAACTACGCAAACCACCAACACTAAAGCAAACTACGTAAACTACCGGGACTACAGGAAACTACAGACAACTACGCAAACTACCGAGACTAGAGCAAACTAAGCAAACTACCGAGACTACAGAAAACTACGTAAACTACCGAGACTACAAAAAACTACAGGTTACTACCCAGACTAAGAGTGACTACTAAGATTTTCGGAAGTCGACGAACAGAATGGAAGTGTACAGGTTACTACGGTGGCTACTGGACTACGACCTGGAAGTGCGGTCATAAAAAATTGTTGTGTTCGAAGTAATCTAATTTATGTTACAATGTTGCATACAGTGCAGTTTACTCCAGATTGCGTATTACTACGGATGCGCCCATGACGGCCCTGCGGCGCCTTTGTATCTGGGCTCACCGGGCGCGGAAGCCTGTAGCTGGTATGCCGGCTGCATTAATATGAGCGGTTTGCGTCACAATGTTCACGGCTTTAAGTGGTTATCGCGCTCCATGGTCCATGGCGCAGTTCAAGAATTTCTTATTGCGTTAACAAGCCACCTGCTTATTTTGATGCGCCGATGATGGCATAGTGGTGAAACAGCTCGCTTCCGGGAAAGGTTATCCCGCTCGATAGACAGTGCCGATTGGATCGCGGCACAACGGCTGCTTATACTTTATAGTACTCGTACGAACAGTTTTATTCAAAGCTGCGACATACCACCACTAACAGATAGCGTACGAATGAATCTCCTGGTACCAATACTTATCGATTTCAGATTACAGTTTCATCACAGGTTTCCGTAATTTAACACGTCGCGATTAAACAGGTTATTCTGATTCTTTATAGTACTCTAAATATTTACATATACTTTATAGTACTCTAGTTCTTTATCTACTCTGAACACTACATACCCAGCATGGGTTAACGTATTCAAGACATAGGATTTATTAATAAGCTGACATTTCCGCTCGTGAAAAATGCTGGACCTAACTCGTATTTATTTCGCGGAAAATTGCGCGCACTTAGCTATACGATCACCACAAGGACACCGGTTACTGTATTGCCCTCCGTATACAGGTAAATCGGACGTGCACCGTGCAACTTACGTGAAACCTACCAAAAGTCCAAGACAAAATAGTCCACTCAAATGACCGACCAATAGACAAGGTCCACTAAACATATTACAGCCGGTAGAAAGGCCCATAAGAACTCCAGTATACCCGCCCGATGTTGCCCAAAAAGTCCGCGATACCGACGTCGTCCCAGCGCATTTGCTGAAGCTGCAAAAGCGCGCAGGGCGGTTATGAAGCCGCACATCGCTAAACCGACAGACGGGAGAGTAGCCAGCAACATATCGTATCCCACCGTGTTCACGTAATAATCATGCGGCTTCATGCCACAATACAAACACCATATGACACCAGCGAGAATAGAAAAACTCAGGATAATAGACTGGATGATCCCCACTGTAATTTACCATGCAGGCTATGGCGAGCGAGCAATTAGTAAGTGCCCAGCATCCTACGATGAGAGCGTTTTCCTAGCAACCGGCATAGTTCCGTGTACTGTGCCACACACAGGCCGGCAGGGACCACTGTCAGTGTCCAAGGATCTTTCGGACGGTGCACCACAGCAATAAGGCACTGAGTAAATCAGCAAGGGAAAATAGGTGACCTACTCCCAAAAGGAAAGGAAAAAGTTGCTAGAGGAACGGGATTCCGCCTGACTAGAAAACCAATGGGCACATAATTCTTATGCGCTGATGGATTGTCGAACCGTTGCGGTTTATTTAGGACTTCACTCAAAAAGCTTGCAATCGGTTTGTTATTCGGTCTAATTATGAAGAACGTAACGCTTAGCAAATCACTTCTTTCTGGACAGACAGTATTGTTTCTAATATTGTCTCGTACAGCAAGAGCGTCCCACCAACGCACTGATTACCGAAGTACACAGTGCATACTATTACCCTGGCGGCTGTCACTGCTCAAATTTTGGTAAGTCACAAAGAAGATATTACAATACTATATTTTTTTAAAAGAACTATTTAAATGCACAGTGCACTTTATAAGAAAATCTCACTGTTCATACAGTACGCACTATCCTTCGGCGGAGGTGCGTTAATTTTATCACTTTAAAGCGCACTGCGCACCTTCTCTGGATTTCACGTTCCTGGCCGTTGCCGTTTTATTTCGAAAATGTATTACATGGATACAGTTGGTTGATCGTTCCTGGCTTTCCACATGTCGTCATATTCCAACTTGTTTTCGTTTTCCCACCCATCGTCGGCTACCAGTCGCATACATTCGACAGCAAAGGCTGTACAAGTAGAAGGTTGCGAACAGAAACGATAGAAAACACATATATTACTTTCTGTTTATAATTTTATACGTTGCCGGCAGCAAAGTGATAATCATGCTGCCTTCGAGCAGCGTTCCCAAATCCCTAAAAAGGCTGAATTTTGATTGGAAAAGGCTGAATTGTGCATTCCCAGATGCACTCGAAATGCGACCAGACTACACAAGCAAATCAGCGTCCACAGGGCAATTCTTACTAGCAGTAACGCCATACTGCATGGGGTCTGGGACAGGGATTGGCGCTAATGTATTTTGAACAAACTTGAACATCAGAAGTAAACTTTTGCAGATTAGCGATTTACGAGTATGTGTGTGCTAACAAGTTATTGTTAGAGCAGAAAAGCATGAAACTATCAGACAGGAATTTAAAGAAATGCGCTTGCAGATCGGTAGTAAAGGGGCCGACGGTCAGTGCGGTGAAAGTGATTGTTGCAACTTGCGCATCGCGGCGTTCGAGCAGGCTAGTCTTTACTCTTTAGTCATTGATACAGAAGACTTCTTTCCGGCGCAGAAGAACAAAGACAACATATTTCACCCAAAGGTCCGACCAATCGATAAGGTCCACCATAACGTCGCAGATTCGAGCAGATATCAGAAAGGATACCCAGTATAACCGGCCTGAAATGCTCGACAGATCAATACCGTCGTCGTGCACCTCGGCCCAGAACAACTGTCGGAACGGCAGGATCATTCGCCGGCACTGCCAAGCGATAATCAAGCCGAGCAGGGCTAAACCGGCACACGGGAGAGTCGCCAGGAGTGAGCCGCATCCCGCCGCGTCAACGGTGTAATAATGCCACAGTACATAGAGAACATGCCGCCAGAGCGCTAAGAAAAGTGCCGGAAAATAAAACTGGACAATCCCCACTACCGTCACCATGTAGCATGTCGCCGGTACGGCAAACAGGAAATAGAGATCCAGATTCACCTTCAGATCGTCACTCTCAAAGCAGCCCAGAGATATCTGTGTATTCTCCCAGAGATTCACGGCCGACAGGAACCACTTTCCGCGCATCTTCCGCACACTGTACCACAGCTTCAGAGCCATGATTAAATCGCCCAGGGAGAAGGCGAAGCCTAATCCTTGGAAAACGGGAAGAAGCTCCAGGAGCCAACGACGTCTGACTGGCTGAAAACCAAATTGTCGTATTATAAATCAGCGCATCGGCAAAAAAAACCTGATTAGGAAGTGTTACTCTGTGGGGTTTATTGAAGCCATTACAATTTCAATTTAAGGCCTTTTTCAAGAAATTGATAGTTGCTCGGCTCCGTAGGTTTTAATCCGTAAGATTATGATTAAAACCATGTTTTAACAAACTCATTTCTATTATTTAATTGTAAATGTACTGTAGTGATTAAAATTAAGTTTCTAAAGGGTAGCTTAAAATCGATAAGCAGCTGATAAAGATAATATGCCTGTGATTTCCGCTCCTTACTCTCGGTAAAGAAACGGGTCGTCAGCGTAGAGTGGTTAATTTACATGTTACCTGTACGGCTGTACATGTCTCTACTCGAGAACTGCGCGGTGATTATACAGCTGCGCATGCATATGTACTCATTATGCTTGCAAAATAGAAAATAATTTTAGTTTCGTGGCTATGGCTAAAAATTTACCTGTATAAACAAAATAGTTTTCAAATAAATATGCAGATGCATAGTAAGCATAAAGGGTCCATAACGTTTTTTGGGAGATAACCTTTGAAGGTTGAAAACGTACCTTTCCTGGTTTTCTGGCTCCTGGCTTTCACGCTGTTCCTCAGACAGGGCTCGCACAACACCGATGGCAACAGCGGTAAAGAACATCAGGTTGCGGGCAAAAGATAGCAGTGCCAGTTGTCGAAAAAGGGGCCTGAAACGCTTGGCATACGAGTTCTTATCCAGAGCTCTTCTCATCACATCGTCAAAGGAAAGATCCAACGTTGGCAAATTCCCACACGAGCGTGAGCGGATAAAAGGCAACAGCTTCGGCACATTTCCGATCGTTGAGTCATCCATGGTTAATAACGCTACAGGCATGGCTGAAAAACTACTCGAATTTCGAACAAATTGTGTAAAAGCCGAAACAACGATCAATTTATGAAAACAAATGCAATACTGTGCCAACACGGTTTCTTGCAACAAGTCAACAGCCAACAGGCAACAGAAAATCAATAAAACTGCTGGAGCGAATACCGCATAATACTGTGTTTCTTTGGAAGTGCTCCCGTGCTAAACTGCATGGGGCGATTACAGCAGGCGGCAAACATACGTCAGATCTAGACTACAGACCTTATTTACAGCCCTCTATTTAATAAGTACCGGTACAAATACGGTCCTTCATATGTTTTTCAAACTTCTCTATGCAGTTGCCCGAATGAAATTGTCGGATGACACATTTTTCTGTACTACGTCTACTGGCTGGCAAAATTTACCGGATGCACCATCCCAAGCGAGTTCCAAGGCATGGCTTGGTTTTTCACCCGGATTTTGATTTCAAACACTTTATATCGTAGATTCCAGGGCACTGTGTGTGTACGCAATTTTTCTTTAGTTCCCGAGCACCCGCGTCGGCTGCGGGTAATACACCTAAGATCTATGCAATGCCACGCAAGCGACGCGAGCCCCTTTTTGGTTTCAGTATATACAGCTTAAGATGATTCCAACAGTACAAGTATCAAGGAAAAGGATTCATATTATAGGTAGGGAACCGGTGATCTGTAGAAAGAAAAAAACCACAAAACAAAATAAAGAGCTGCTAACGCAATAACACTCACCTACTGTATGTATCTATAAACTGTCACATGTACCAGTATTTTTACTTAAAATTAAAATGACTGAATTTTAAAGCCATGTGCGTCCAAAATGAGGATAGCTTATAAGAACTATTCTAGCCAGAGTCCACAATGCAATTTTTAGACAACGATAACGCTACTGCTTGTGGTTTAGTATCCGTGTGTATCTGTAGGCTATAGGGATTGCCGTGCGTGTAAGTACTGTACTCGTATTTAAAAGAAGAACACTTTTAAACACACGTACACTTTTGTAGATTGCGATTGTGCTAAAAGATAACTTTTTCAATAGACAAATATCAAGCGATAAGTCATGAAAGGAATAAACTTGCAAAATTGCAGTACTGTAGGTACTGCAATTAACGGTCTTTAACGGTCGGATCGGTCAGTGGAATCCTCAGACATCTGGATTCTGGACAGAGGTTGGAGCGTGGCTCGTCCTTAATCATTAACACAGGAAACTTCTTTTCGGTGCAGAATGTCAAAGACAACATAATCCATCCAAAATACCACCCAATCGATAAGGTCCCATAAAACGTAGTGCACCCGGTAAAAAAGCACATAACAATTCCGGTGTAACCGATATATGATGGGCCCGATCGTGCTTTCTAGAACACAGTCAATGTCGACGTCGACCCAGCAAATTTGTTGAAAAGCCAGAATCATGCGGAAACACTTTCCGGCAGTTATCACTCCGTACACAGCTAAACCGATAAACGGAAGAGTCACCAATACCAAGTCGTACCCCGTCGTGTCCACGTAATAACCATGCCACAATATATAGGCAACGTGCCACCAGAGACTGTAGAAAAATGTAGGGTTATTGAACTGCACGATCGCAACGACAGTCACCATGCTGCCGGTGGCGAGTATGGCGAACGTTGAGTGCAACACCATACAGGCTTCCATGAGCATGGTTTCCCAGCAGCCGGCAGGAGGCCGGCTGCTTCGGCACACATTCACTTCCGACAGGAACCAATGTCCACGCAATTTTGCATGCTGCACCACAGCAAGACGGCGTTGACAAAATCGGCAATGGAAAGTGCACAGCATCCTCCCAAAAGGTATGGGAAAGCTTGCAGGAGGAACGGGCGTCCGTCTGGCTAAAAAAACGATAGTTGTATCATTTTTAAGTCAGCGCACTCCTAACGCTGAGGATGGAATGAACCGCTCAATACGGCGGATCAGTAAGGATTTCGTTACGGAACACTAACGCTCGGTTCGCGCTCGTTTCTCGGCTAAGCCGATTACGAAAAAACCGTACTTCGTTCAACCCGCAATGGACACTTTATAATCGGTAGCGAATGAAACCAAATAGTTAGAAAAAACAGCAGCAAATCGGGCCGGTAGCCGAGATGCGGCTGCGTACTCAAGGTTACTTGGTAAGGAAAGCAATCGATCAGTCTGCTTAGCGCAAACAACCATACAGACACATGGCTCTACTCCTAAGATGGTATCAGCATAAACAAACCGTCACCCTGTCGGCTCCTCATCCTCAAATTCACAAGGATAAACGCAAAGAAATTTTTTCTAAAAATATCTAAATGTACAGTACACTTGGCTACAAAATCGCTGTATACCAAACTTCGAAGGGTATGCTTTTTTATTTCACATACAAAAAATACGAGTACAACCTTAACGCGTACCTCCTCTTCTTGATCTTCTGCTTCCTCATGTTCCAACTCCCCGACAGACCGGGCTGGCAATCGCATATATTCAACAACAAAAGCTGTAAATAAAACCAAGTTGCGGACAAGAGACAGCAGTGCCTGCTGTCGTATAAGGGGATTCAGACGCTTGGCATACGAGCTCTTCTCCAGAGCTCTTCGCATCACATCGTCAAAGGCTGGATCAAACGTCGAACAATCACCACACGAGCGAGAGCGGTTAAAATGCAATGCGTATGGTACATTTTGGACCGCGGAGTCATCCTTGGTTACTAACGCTACAGGCATTTCTGAACTACTGGGATTACGAACAAATTTCATGACAACCGAGCAACAAATAAGCATTAAAATGCTAAGAAGACGATGCAACACGAGTTGCTGCAACACTTGCCTGCAGCAAATCGATAACGCCAACGGAGCGGGTCCCATTTCTTAGCAGATACTTAAAACAGTGCATACATATCTCACTATGACGTATGCTCGCTTATTGACCGTCAGAATACATAATGAATTGTTTCCGATTTTTGAGAGCTATTTTTCTTCTGCATGATTCTTCGTGTAAAAACTTTCTTTTCCAAAACTAAAATCTATGAAAATTCTAGATGTCTTGCTTTATTTAAAAAGAGTTCCGATTAAACACGGTTGACTAAATTTGGGCGCTCTTGGTTATAATTTTGTAACAATATGTGCTTCATGCAGGCGTACTTTGGTAGCTTTTTTCAAGGTCACGTCTTCCGGCTTTGGAATTTTTGCCGTTAATCGAAATGCGCAGAGCACTCACCGGTGACTCGTATGACAACATGGCCCACCAAGTGATCCACTGTGTACCACAAGCGTACTATACAAAGTTCGCATATAAAATGTGTTACCTATATTAGGGAACACCTCCGACGTAAGTCTTGTGGACTACTTTAATAATATAAAATCAACTGCGTGAACTATTCATTTACGCCGTGCAACAGCTTTTTGGCCCCCAGAGCATTGTTTTACAGAGGTCCTCAAGTAGATCGGCTTATAAAACCAGCACAAGGGAGGAACGAAAAACTCGTCGTCGTGAAACGCTTTACTTCTCAAGTTTATCCTGTTTCCGGTATCGAAGATTTCTCTTAAGATTTTCCCCGTTTAATGGTAGTAGTGCCGGCAGTTTCTCATAGAGCCACAGAGACATGGCTGGTTGCTATGCATGAGGAGGATATCTTGGATTCCTGTGGCACACCTATCTGTACAATTAAAGTACGTGCCATTGTAATGAGTGCAAGTAGTTCGCCGTAAGTGGTACCCTCTAAATATTAATGTTATTGTTATCACACTGTACAGTGGCCAGCACGAAATCCATTTCGGCTTGCTGGGCCAAAACTGCTAAATCAAAATGTCACGTGCCGAGATACAAGGTGTTACTAGTACTTCTACACTGCGACAGCTTACGCGGTTGTCAACACGGCTGCCGAAGAAGCATACGTGGACCGAAATTGTGTGAAGTTTTCACAACTTCAAACAATTTCAACCCATGATCACCATAACGTGTTTTAGTATAATCCAGAAGTAATTCGGTGAAGAGAAGTAAACTGATCAAAATAAAATTCAATTGTTGTCCTGCTAGCGCAATTGTAATTGACCATGTCAGGAAACAGAGTCACATGCATTTTGATTTAAAAAGACCGAAGCACCAGTACCGAAGCCATTTTCCAGAAGGACGCAAAAAGAGAGCAGCGCAGATTACGCAAACCAACCAGTGTCGTCGCTGCAGTATTTAAACAGCGATAAAACTGCATGCTGCTTGTGGTTTGGTATCCGACTATCCGTATAGGCCATACTCTAGAGATTATCGGGCGTGCACACCGTACAGGATTTTGTCATAAAACGCTTGAATATCAGACGTAAGCTTTGGTAGAATAAGATTGTGAATGCATTAACAAAGAACTATTTTAACCAGAAAATCAGCTAACGATTGATTAATCAGGAAAAGATGAACATGCTAAATTCGCGTCTCGTGAACTGTCGGATCGGTGAACTGGAATCCTACACACCGGGACGGACGTCTGAGCGTCTGTACTTTATTGGCTTTAGTCGTTAACACAGAAGACTTCTTTCCGACGCAGCAGAACCAGGACCACATACCCCACCCAAAGGACCGACCAATCGACAAGGTCCACCAATACATAGCAGAGCCGATGCGAAAGTGCATAAGAAATCCAATGTAACCGGCCTACAATGCTTGACATATCAAAGCCGCTGACGTTCTGCACCTCGGCCCAGAACAGCTGTCGAAATGGCAGAATCGCTTGCCGACACTGCCACGCGGTATCCAACCCGAGCAGTGCTAAACCGATGCAGGGGAGGGTAGCCAGCAACAAGTCACATCCCGCCGTATCTACGGTATAATCATGCCACAGTGCGTTGACAAAATGTCGCCAGAGAGCGAGCAAAAATCCCGGGTAATAGAACTGGACGATCGCCATTGCCATCACCATGTAGGCCGTGGCCAGTATGGTAGACAGGAAATATACATCGAGACGCACTTTCAGTTGGTCAGTTTCATAGCAGCCAACGGAAATCTGTGTGTTCTCCCAGGGATTCACGGCCGACAAGAACCACTGTCCGCGCATCTGGCGCACACGGTACCACAGCAATACAGCCATGGATAAATCGAGCAGAGAGTGTGTCAAACCTGCTACTTGAGTGATAAGAAGGAGCATCAGGAGTAATGAAGGTCGTCGGGCTCCCTAAAAAAAGGGTAGTCTTATAATTATGGAGTCATCGTTTCACTAGGCAAAATAGTTCAAGAGGTTTGAGGCCTTTCGATCAAGATTATGGTTAGAGAACTTTCTCTAAAGTTTTATCTCCTTAATCGGTAGTAGTACTCAAGCAACGGCTGCAGTAGTCTGATTAGTGATAATTACAAGTTACATGTACAGAGCACTGCACACAGCTTTACTCTAGGAAACATAACAAACTGTATTACAGATACAAGTCTCCGCGTATGCAAGTATTGTTCCTGTCAGCTATTGCTAAAATTTACATGCGAAACAAATATTTGCATAAACAAATATTTGTAATCAAATAGCCAATAGGTATGTAAACGCACAGTACAAATGCACAGTAAGCATAATATTTTTGGAGATAATCTTTAAAACCTGAAAGCCCTACCTTTTTTCGGTGTTCCCATTCGTGGTTTTCGTCTTCGTTGTCAGACAGAGCTCGCATAATTTGGACGGCAAGGGCTGTACATAGTAGCAGGTTCCGAGCAAAAGAAAGCAGTGCCAGCTCTCGGATTAGAGGCTTGAAACGCTTGGCATATGAATGTTTCTCAAGAGCTCTTCTCATCACATCATCAAAGGCTGGATCAAACGTGGAAATATCACCACACGAGCGAGAACGGATAAAATCCAGCGGCTTTTGCACATTTCGGACCGTTGAGTCATCCATGGTTACTAATGCCATGCAATGAATGAAGAACTACGATTTGGGATCGAGAAATTTTATGACAACCGCAACGAGAACCAGATACAGATACCGTGCCAACATCGCTCGCTACAACAAGTTAACAACCAACAGCAAATCAATAACACCGGCGGAGATTATATCATGGTATATGCTCTATTTCTTTGAAATGCAACCATATTTAACTGCATCATTTGCATGACGCGATGGGCGCAGGCATTATATTACAATGCATATCTAGGTATTTACTACGCACAGATACGGTACTTTTCATTAGAGAACACGATTAGCACATGCGAGAATACATTTTAGTGATTTTACATTAGCAAAATCTAACACATTTTACAATGGCTCTATGGTATTTCTACTTATTTAAAATGCATTTTGATACAACCTCCGGCGCCGACTAAAACTCGCAGGCATCGTCGCTTAGTTCTGAGGCACATCAATGCGGTTTCCTTTGCGACTGTGGTGGACAGTGGTCTATTATGGTCTGAATTGTTACAAATTTCCCGAAGACGTCGTTGACCAAGCCAGTGCACAGTAATCTGTTTACGGCTCGACAAAGGCGTGGTGAAGGGAAAGGGATCGCAGAGGGAAATATGGATATTGTCGCGACAGGATACTAGCGTAGAAGAGGTACTCTGGAGAGCAATGGCGGTCACAACGTTTTTCAGTCGACGCCATCAACGGATGTGTCCGTACGCATCTATATGTGTCAAAACGGCGTGACTTTGGTTAGTATTACATGATTGATTATTTGAAAGCCTTGTGCAACACACCGTGCATTATTTTTTTTCAAAAAAACTTGAATATCAGACGTAAGCTTTGTTAGATAAAGATTGAGTATGCGTTAACAAATAATCATTTTAACCAGAAAAATAGCAAACGATTAATCAGGAAAAATTAAACAGGCTAAATTCTCGTCAAGTTTTGGAGTAACGCATCGGTGAACTGGAATCCTAACACACCGGGACAAACTGAGCGCCTATACTTTATGGCCGCTAGTCGTTAACACAGAAGACTTCTTTCCGACGCAGCAGAACCAGGACCACATACCCCACCAAAGGACCGACCAATCGACAAGGTCCACTAATACGAAGCAGAATCGATCCGAAAGCATATGGAACATGCAGTCTAACCAGCCTGACATGCTCGACAGATCATAGCCGCTTTCATCCTGTGCCCCGTCCCAGAATATATGCCGAAACGGTAGGATCGTTCGCCGACACCGCCAAGCGGTAATCAAGCCGAGCAGAGCTAAAGCGACACATGGGAAAGTCGCCAAAAGCAAGCCATATCCCGCCGTATGCACGGTGCAGTAATGCCACAATACATAGATGACATGTCGCCAGAGAGCCAAGACAAATCCCGGTTAAAATATCTGGATTATTGCCATTACCAGCACCATGCATGTCGTGGCCAGTATGGCGAAGAAGCAGTGCAGTTCCAGACCCGCTTTCAGATTGTCACTTGCACAGCAGCCCGCGGAAATCTGTGAGTCTTCGCCGAGATCCCATGCTGACAGGAACCACTGTCCACGCATCTTCCGCACTTCGTACCACAGCACTACAGCCATAATTAAGTCGCCGAAGGAGAATGCAACACCGGCTCCTTGAACGTCAGGGAGATGCTCCAGGACGAATGGACGTGTATGTGGCTAAAAAGCGACGGGCGCATATTATTAAGTCGGTGTTTAAATAAGCAAGAAAATTAAAGAGATTGCCCTGAGTGTTTACTGAACCGATTAAGAACTTCTCAAGCAGTCAAGCTCAATCTACTTTCCAGAAATGCTGACCATGTGCACTCATAGTATAAGAATGCATAAATAAACCGAAAAGCCACCGCGTTTGTAAAAAATATATACTGGCGCCACTGCTCAAATTTATACGCATAGAAAGTTTTTACTTATACCATTATACGCACAGTACACAATGATTCTCCATGGTTGTAACTTTTAGGGTTGTACAGCCATACTAGTTTTCGGTGGGTATCGGCTATCGCTAAATTGTGGAACGTCAGAAACGTACTTTTACCTGGTTTTCACGTTCCCTGTTTTCATGCTGGCCACCAGATTCTGATCGAGCTCGCATTAGTCGCATAAAGTCGACGGCAACAGCTGTGTACAGTAAGTAACAGGTTCCGGGCAGCAGAAAGCTCAAACAACTGATTCCGACTGAGTCGTTTAACAATCGCCAAACATTCCACATACAACTTATGCAATGAAGAGAGTACCAGCTGTCGTATCAGGGGCTTCAGAGGCTTGGCATACGAGTTCCTCTCGAGGGCTCGTTTCATCGTACTGTGAAAGGCAGGATCAAACGTCGATAAGTCCCCATAGGAATTAGAGCGGATAACATGCGGCGGTTTCTGAAAATTTTGGACCGAGGAGTCATCCTTCGTTTCTAACGCTACTGGCATGGATGAAGGCTGATTTACTAATCGGGGTTTCGACGAAATCTGTTCTCACCAAAGCAAGAATCAAAATGACATACGGATACGGTTTACGGTAGTTTACTGCCTACAACAGAAAATCAATAAAACCGGCGAAACGACCACATACATGCTCTTCTTAAATTAGCCAATGCTACCGTACTGCAGTGCATATGAGTTGAGAGCTTGACGTCGACGACACAGTAGCAAATTATGAAACCATAATATAAGTATGCTTAAAGTGAGCAATACACATGTATCATGTATGCACTACCGCAACAAGGCACGTCTGCGGTTTTGGTTTGGTTTGCGACTTCATCCCACTTTACATCCCACTTCACTCTAAATTTCAAGCGATTAAATGCGTGGAAGCATTCGTGCAGCGCCAGAAAACGTTTGCACAAGACCGCAAGTAAACAAAGTTGACAATTACTGTATATAAGTACAAAGTACCGTGTCCAGTGAAACGGATTCTCCAGACGGGCTGACTTAACTTAGCTGTCTGGACGTGATTTACCAAGGTTCCATCACGATTTTGCCCAATAGTGAACCGAGGTCACTATTCCTCGTACAGGTTTTCGATGAAGTCTTTATTTCGGGAAGGGTGGCTTCTATGAATTTCCAGCGTTTTGTGGAGGTTTTATCGACCTGCATTCTAATGCTCGGAAGAAAATGTCGCATGTGTCCAAGTGCAAATTAGCCAGTGTCCAGGTGTAATGCCCAGCGAGTGTCCACGATGCAGTTTTGATAGACTATTAAACACTTAACATTAATCGATAAAACATTAAAAGAAATGAGCTGGCAGAACTGTTGCAAAGTCGCGAACAGTAACTGTTCGCGACTATTAAACTGTTCAACAGTTTAATAGGCGAATGGAATCCTAGCACATCGGGACGAACATTCGAGCGTTTTCAGTGGTTAACACGGAAGAACCAGGACCACATATACAAGAATCGAGAAACAGCAGAACGCCGTGCCGCCAGATCGCAGGGCCAATTCGTTCATTCCGGTTAAGAAACAGAGCGGGCAGCTTCCGATAAATTACGGTGGGTATCCCCAAATTCCAGCTGTCATATAAGAGGTTCTACATCGTTCCTTAATGGCCCCGTTGCCGGTAACATTACATACCATGTCTCCTCTTATCAAATGCTAACCGTACTGCGGCGCATGACTGGACACGTCACACAGGCGGCAAAATCTGGGTACTAATTTCGTTGTACTTAATACGTAAGAATACGGTTTGTCAGTCTCAATTTCCGCGGTTTGGGTTTGATTTGCGATTCCATTCCGCGTAATGGTAATGCAAAAGGAGAAAATAAAATTTCAAATGTATTTGCTTTCGTACTTTAGACGAATTAATGGTTTTAATATGCAAGAAACAGAAGGAAGGAAGAATCTGCATGTAACCAACGGTGAATCGAATTTTTAAAAGGATAAAAGAGTGAAAGCGTTCGTTCAGATGTCGTCTGAAGGTGTTACCGTTAGTAATGCATACAGGCAATGTTGTCCACAGTGTCACAGACGGAGTATCGACAGATTTTCCCGATGAGAAACACACCTGACGTACACAACAGAGAATTATAATTACTGTATTATTAGGAAATTGCACATCGAATATACTGTAAAATCAGCTTGAAGAACTGTCGTAACGCGCGGACCGACCGGATCGAAAAGAATCGTTGCACATCGGGGACACTTGAGGCTAGTTTTTGGTCATTATTACCGACGATTTCTTGTCGCCGCCGAAGACCAAAGACAACATCCACATAACCGACCAAAATGAACGACGGTCACGCACAATGTGGCGCACTCGGTAGCGAATCACAGGCCAATTTCTGTATAACCATCCAATCAGGTTCGAGCCGTCCCACACATCAAAGGCAACATCGACGAGCATCTCCTTCCAGATGATTTGGCGAAACTGCAGAATCAAGGGACGGCATTTGCGAGCGATATTCAAGCTGACCACCGCTAAACCGATACACGGGAGGGTAGCCAATAACAATGCCTGTCCCGCCGTATCCAAGGTAGAGTGATTCCAGAAGATGTAGACAACATAGAGCCAGAGATACCAGAAAAACTTGGGATAGTGGAACTGGATAATCCCCACGACAAGCAGCAGGCCGGCTGTGGTTTGTACGGTGTAGGCGACATGCTCCTCCAGGTACTTTTTCAGCACATCACTTTCATAGCAGCCGATGGAAATCCGCGTGATGTCCCGCAGGTTGGCTGCCGACAGGAACGACGGTCCGCGCATCTTCCGTACACCGTTCCACAGCAAGAATGCGTAGAATAAATCGATGAGGGAGCAGGCAAGAGTTGCTCCCTGAACAAAAAGCACATACGCCAAGGGAGACAGAAGTCCGTCCGACTGAAAACAGATAGAAATTCTATAACTGAATCAGCGCTGGTTTTTGGTTTTTACTAAACGATGCAGTTACTCTAGTACGGATGCGCAGCTACCGCAGGGTACACCACGCACTGTTGTTCTGACGGCTCTTGCCCAAATTTGAACGTATAACAGGAATAACATTTTTTTTAAATAATTAAATGCACAAGACAGAAAGCTGTATTATGCCACCCAGAATATCCTTCACTTATGAAACTACAAGAGTACCTTCTTCTGGAGCTGGTTGTCAGGTTCCTGGTTTTCACGCTCATCGCCAGTTCGCACTCCCATCAGTCCCCTAAACTGGACGGCAACAGCTGTACATAGGAGCAGGTTGCGGGCAAAAGAGAGCAGTGCCAGCTGTCGAATAAGGGGCTTGAAACGCTTGGCATACGAGTTCTTCTCGAGACCTCTTCTCATCACATCGTCAAAGGCAGGATCAAATGTCGACAAATCACCACAGGAGCGAGAGCGGACAAAATGCAACGGATTCGACACATTTCGGATCGCACAGTCATCCTTGGTCCCTTTCGCTATTGCCATAGCTGAAGAACTACTCTGATTTTGAGAGAATTTCAGAGTTCAAGAATGACAATGTCACGACTATGCAACACGGTATACTCGATTCTTATGTGAAATCGAGAACAGTTCACTAAAGTTTCCGACAGTCGAAAGTGAAAACTAGACAAGTAGCTGTCGAAACGGGCGGTGGCCGGTATGTACTTACTTAATTATCGCCGTTTAGGTCTGCGCGAATCAAAATTTTTTTAGTGCCTTATAAAGCATAAAGCCTGTTTTCCACGGTGGTGGGAACAGTCGTCCACGAACACCTCGTCATAAGAACAGAAAGTGCCTTGCTGGTTGTTTACAATGTACATGCGAAAAATTCTTACAAGTAGCTACGCCAACCGGCACCCACAGCCGATAGGCACGGAAAAACAACAGCAATGTTTATCAAATTATCGTGTTCATTATCGTATTATTCAGCAAATATAGCATATTATTACACAAACTTTTACAACTTTTCATAGCTGTCTACCTATAATAAATACAACTGGACGGTAAGTCCGTTACGACTTACAGTAACATGTTATTGATCTGCTTTCGCAATTAGCAGCTCACGAGTCTTCAAACTATCGATCACAGGCAGCAACCACTACATTGACAGACTGAAAGAACTATCATGGGAACCGATTGTACGGCGGAATCTGAAGCGTAGCCTACGGCTGACCTATAAGTTTGTCTACAACCTAATTCCTTATGGCCACAAATTGTTTTGTAAAGATACTGCTGTGCGTTCTGGTGTTGCAGGTGGAACGCGTCACCAAAGGAGGATGGCTAAACACCCCTGCCGGATTATAGCCACTGGATCAACATTTTGCGGTCACAAACTGCCACCCTCGGACAGATCATTCACATATCGGATGGCAAGGATTTGGAACGATCTGCGGATTCCAGCTGAAGCTTATCAAAGCCTCGGTAGATTTGCGACAGCTTTAAATGATGTCGACTGGAAGTGCGTACCATCACTAAAAAAGTTTTACCATGCTGACCATGTGTCTTTAATCCAAATGTAGAAGTGAACTTTTCTTTTCCTGTTCTTTCTGTTGTGGCTATTTGTGCTTTACTTCTGTCTGCTTATGACGAGTCTGCTGCCTCGAATTGGGTTTTGACCCAGATTGTGTGCGGACGTTAAAGAACATTAAACATTAAACAAACTTTAGACACGATAAATGCATTTTTTACGTCTGTCAAAGTTTAGTCTGCAGTCTGCTGTTATGTGACTTTGAGGAACATATTTAGCAAGACTGCAAAAAGAGTCATTTCTAAAAGAGTCATCATTTATACGAGGATGCACGCAGTCAAACCGACAGTAAATTTTTTCAGCGAGACCAACCGACAACCGTGCATATAGTGCAAGCGACTGCCAACCATCCACGGATGGCTGTCACCTGTTCCACGCATACAGTGCAAACGATACCTCCCTTTCACGGGTGGCTGTTATGTTAAAAAATAATTTGCCTGTGTGCGTGGTTGTCGGTTGGTCTCGCTGAAAAAATTGACTGTCGGTTTGACTGCGTGCATCCTCGTACCGATCGAAACTGTTGATTTTTATTTTACCTAGGAACTTGTACCGAACACCTAGAATAGATTTTATGATTTTTTTAAATTTTTATTTTTGCCCATTTCAGTGTCCACTATCTATGTACGAGTAAGCGCAGATACTAAAGTACAGTAATGGAATTTCAGCACCAACCCTATATACGTACATGTATATCGCACAAGGACTTTTTTGCACGTTTTTGGGAAAGACCGGTGCATCAGAAGTAAACCGTTCAGAATAATCCGACATATTCATTTTATGTATATTACAGAGAATCATACCAAGTCACCTTGTTATTATTACAGAAATTACAACGACAAAACTTGAGAACCAGCTTGCAGAACAGTCGTAAAGCGCCAACCGACAGGATCAATGAAAAGAATCGCTGAAAATCGGAACATCGAGGCTAACGTTTAGCCATCAGTACAGAATACTCTTCGTCGCCGCGGAAGATCAAAGACAACATCCACATGACCGACCAAAATGAACGATAGTCATTCACAAAGTGGCGCGCGATGTAGAAAAGCAACCTTATTATGCTCAACAAATTATCAAACACACCGGTATCCACGTCGGCCCCGAAAGTCTGCCGAAACCGCAAAATCAGTGGGCAACACTGGTGAGCGACAATCAAGCCGACCACTGCTAAACCAATAGTCAGGAGGTTAGCCAATAACAATTCGTTTCCCGCCGTATCAACAGTAGAATAATACCACCACAATGTTTAAACAGAACATGTCGCCAGAGAGCCAAGAGAAATCGAGGATAGAAGAACTCGATAATCCCCACGATAAACAGCATGCCGGCCGCAGCCAGGACGGTAAAGGCGAAATGCTGATCCATGTGGCCTTTCAAGAGATCGCTGTAATAGCTGCCGATGGACATCCGCGTGTCTTTCCGTGCACTGGCGGCCAACAGGAACCACTTTCCGCGCATCTGTCTGACACAGTACCACATCATCAAAGCATTGATTAAATCGATAAGAGAGAAAGCGGTAGCTGCTCCTTGAAGGACAGAAAGATGCTCCAAAAGGAACGGACGTCTATCTGGCTGAAAAAAGAGTCGTTTTACAACCAACATCGCCGTTTTAACTTAAACTGTACCCTGTAGTGTCACCGCTTACACAAAATATTTTGTGTTGAGTAATGTTGTACTGTCGGTTAATTGCTCAAATTGTCACGCGTAAAAAATGTTGGTTGCGAAAGTACGTAGTACATGTTTAAATTCACGGTACAAAACTTAACAGAAGATGCATGTGGTCATGCAGCCGTACTGTACCCACTGGAGAGTATCTTTAATTAATTTTTGAAAAGTGAAGGGTACCTTCTCCCGGTTTTCACGTTCGTGGTTTTCACGTTTGTCGCCAGGTAGAGCTCGCATAATTTGGGCCGCAAGGGCTGTACATAAAAGCAGGTTGCGGGCGAACGATAGCACTGCGAGCTGTCGAATACGGGGCTTGAAACGCTTGTCACAGGAGTTCTGCTCCAGAGCTCTTCTCATCACATCGTCAAAGGCTGGATCAAACGTCGACAAATCACCAGACGACCTAGAGCGGATAAAACGTACCGTGTCCGGAACAGGTCGGATCATGGAGTCATCCTTGGTCATTTTCGCTGCCGGCATGGCTGAAGAACTATCTGTACTCGTATTTGGGCAAAATTTCACAACACCCAAAGCAAGGATTACAATGGAAGGAGCGGCAGTGTTAAACGAAATTTTATTGTAGGAAACTATGCAGTAATTAATATGCAGTGATTCGCGTTGTATGAAATAAAAGCATGTAAAAGTCTCAATGATGGAATAACTGTGCAACACGGTACAGAAATTACCAACGACAGATCAACATGTACATCGGCTTTGCCAGTTTGCATAGTGATTAGCGCCCATGCTATTCCTTCGAAAACAGTTTCCATACTTAGATGCTTTGTACTTCCGGAATATACTTCAAGTATGGCAGTCATTATTGAGATATTGTGCTGACTCGTGTGTTGTGGCCAAGTGTTTAGCGTGTTTGCATGACGCCTGACAAATTAGCGTTGGTGACGAACTACGGGTAAATGACATCTTTGTTACCATCACCGGTTGCAGCTTGCAAGTACTTATCGCCGGTCAGGATCAGCGCGCATCAAAAACTTTTTAATGGCTAAAGCAGTTTTCCACGATGGTGGTGAACAGTGGTCCACAACCGCCTCTAAGAAATAACGTGAGAGAATACTGATAGCAGCGCCAGCCGGCACTTACAGCTTTCCAAAAATAAAGAGTAACAGCGCATTCTGATCGACTTCACTGTCTGGCGTGGCGGTTGCGTGTTTACTAACTTAAATTACTTACAGACCTGCTCAGATATTGGGAGAAAACTTCCGACGCACTCTTTGCAGACTACTGTACTTATTAGTACAGATGTAATAGTACAGATACTATGTACAGATTTTGTGTGAATAATTCATTCACGCTCGGTGAAAACGAAGGCGTACGTGATCACAGCGCAGAAGAATCTGCTTTCGCGGTTCTGAAGATCCGCCAGTACCTGTGAGATGCCGAAATAAAGGTCACGGATCGCAAAATGAAGAGGTTTCTAGTTTGGTTAAATCTTTTTAAGCTCCACGTTCGCGTCTGTTTTCCAGTTCACTGTTGCCGGTCTTATTCCTCTAGTAGTAATTCTCTGTTAATACGATTATACGAGTAGGTGTTTTTGCGTTATTTTGATGGATGACCACCAATGAGAACTTGAGAAGTGAAGCACCATGTGGGGCGTGTCTGCTTTTGTGCTTAAACCTATCTGTAATACTGTATGTTTTCGAATGCAACTTTTCATAAGTGTCTGTAATAAATGCAGCCGGTTAATATTCTACAAACTCCGGGATCCTTTTAGCAAACGAGTCTTTCGAATACAGAAATCCTTTCAGTATCAACTACAAACTTGCAAGCACGAAAAATAAATCTTCAGCATCTGTCACTAGTCAATCTGTTCTAATCGTTAAGTGACCTTGAGAAACCTGTTAAAGTATACCGTTGCACAGAGTATAATACAGACAACCCAAAACTGATAATTTGTTTTTAGCAGAAACTATTTATTCGGACCAACAAATGCCACAAGTTTCAGCTTGGGAAAGCCTTGACACGAAAGATCAGAAACGAAGCAAAACATTATGTACGAAGTTAGCAGTATATAGAAATCGTTTACCTTTCAAAGCAATCGAAAAATATTGCAACGCAAAGCAGCCAGTGTACCCTTGCACGAATCGATGGGTAGAAATCGTAGCGCATCGGAATATTTAAAAGAATTACCCTAGTGCTTAAGTCTTCATCACAGAAGTTTCTTTTTCGCCACAGAAAATCAAAGATAGCATCCAGATGACTGACCAAAAAGACCGGTCACGCAAAATGTGGCGCACTGTGTAGGAAAGCACCGGCGAATCCCTGACTAACCGTCCAATCAGGTTCGACTGATCACACGCACACCCAGCCGCTTCGGCCCGGACAATCTGTCGAAACCGCAGAATCATCGGGCGA